AGAGGAGGAGACAAGGCGCCTGCAGCAGCTGCAGGCGTGTACCGGCCAGCAGTCCTGTCGCCAGGTGGAAGAGCTGGCTGCTGAGGTCGAGAGGCTGCGCACTGAGAACCAGAGGCTTCGGCAGGAGAACGAGATGTGGAACCGAGAAGGCAACCGCCGCGGTGAGGAGCCGGGCACCTAGGGTCCTCCCCAGCCAGGTGGACCCAGGAAGGTCTCTTTTCATACACACTCAGGCTAGCTGGGTCTCAAGGAGGCAAGTAACAGATGGAAAGCATTCTCAGCACCCCTGTGCCCCCTGAGAACAGCTAAAAATAGGTTCAGTCTTCTACCTTGTCATTTCCACAGTTGGTTCTTTGATGTCATCTTACTTTTTACGGAGAAATTAAATGCTCTTGGTGAGATCAAATGGGAGTGGCTAGGATTGATTTCACTAGGGCTCTTCTGAGAATCAAAATGCATTCGTCTAAGAGATCCCTGTCCCCCTTGTCCCGCAGAGGACAGCAGAGCTCTGGGTGGGACTCGTAAGAGTCTATACACGCCTAAATTCTGCTGTGTCCTGTACTGAAGGCTGTGGGTGGAGGGAGCTCTGCCCTGGATGAGGGAGAGCTGGGACTCTTGGAGAAGCCCCAAGCCAAGGGTTCCTGAGCTACCTAGATTCCCAGTGTTCACAGTTCAGAGGGCTGGGCTAGAGGAGGTCTGACTGCCTGGTATCTCCATGTCCTTGACCCTCACACACTCCTTCCAGCAAGGGATTGGGCCTGGGGTTTAGTCATCAGTTTGCGCCCTCACCTCCTGGAAGGAGGATTAGAAGTTAGCCCTCAGGGCCTGGACCACCAGTTAGCATAATGGCTATGTCGCTGGACTCCCATGTAGTCGACCGCGGTTCGCGTCCCGGACCCGGCGGCTTAAAACTCACGCCAGGCATGTGTGTGTGCGTACCCAAGATTGTGAGAAGAGAACAGAGGAGAAGGGATTGCTGCATGACCATCCCCCCTGGGGGGTGATTTCTTGCTTCCTGTCTCTGTCTGTCTGGCAAGCCCTATAGCAAAAACCTCTTAAAAAAAAAAAAAAAAAGTTAGCCCTCAGGGAAGTATTCTCTGGGTGAAAAATACAGCCAAGAGGCAGTGGGGGCAACACATGGACCCCTAGCACAGCTGGGCTGCCTGATTCTCCGGTGCATCCTGCTGCTCAGGCCAGTCACTTATGTGGTTCCTTCCCTGTGCCATGCCTGAGGCCCTCGCCTGTCTGCTTAATAGAGTGCTGTGTCAGCCTGGATGTGGCAGAGACCCCCAGCATGCCTGCCAGTCCTGGGCTCTGAGAGGAACTCACACCCCCTCTCTCAGACCCACCCTCCCCCTGGCATCCTGTCTTTTCCAGCACACTCCCTGGTCCTTGCTGTTCAGTGCAGATGGGAGGGCATTAGGGAGGGGAACTACCCACTCACCAGTGAGCCCATATTGGCTCTGCCACTGTGTGTGGGGTGGGGCGAAGGCTCTCCCAGCCCAGCTGGGCTTCCATTCCAGGAGCTTAGCTTGACAACCACATTGGAGAAGGGAAGAGCTCAGTCCTGGAGCCGCTGGGCATGGAAATATTGACAACACTCAGTGGGTTGCCAGGACAGCTTTCGTTTCTGCCCTGCCACACCCAGGCCTGGCCAACACCTTCTACAACAAAGCAAGGCAAGAGCTGATTCTAAGAAGGGATAGGTTTCAAGAGAAAGCAGAGATCTGCCCCAGGAACCCTGGCCCAGGGCTTTCCCTTTGATCCGCAGAGGGCTCTGTCAGGAAAGGCAGCGGGCAGGAATGATCATCCCCACTTTGCAGATGAGAAAGCCAAGGCTCTGGGAGGAGGTGGCTTTCCAGATTCCAGGAAAGCTGGTCCTGAGGCTTGCCTTCCCCTGCAGGGTGCTGGCCTTGGACTGAGGGCCCCTTGGCAGGCAGGCAGCCTCCGTGGCGGCATTCC